GTTACAGGTACAGGTGTGCATAGTCTGGCCTTAAAGAAGCAATAAAAATATAAACTCATTCATAAATACTCGCCTCTTTCCGTGACCTACAAGAAGAAGAGACCAAATTGTCTCGCCTATGTTTAAATGAACTTTCAGGAATAGGCGTGTGTTAGTGTGTGGGTGCATGTGCGTGTGCGTGTGCGTGTGCGTGCGCACGCCCCTGCACCTCAGGATTCGCCTATGCAGTGGTTAAGGTCATGCATGAGTTTTTAAGTGAACGGCTCATTCCTGGTGTTCCCTGCCTTAGATACTAATGTTAAATCAATGATATTCACCCTAATGGTTTCCATGACTTTCGCTGTCATAAACCAGTGATTGACTTGAAAGTTTGCAGCGATGGAATAAGGTGTTTATTTTACAATGTCTCAATAAACGGTAGTAAAATCCTAAGGTTTATCACAATATTAACATAAAACTACCCTGATCAAAATTAGGAACACCGATATACAACAGATCCAGTCCTATCATTTCAAACCAGGCTACAGACCACCTTACTCTGGATCATGGGGATTTACAGTACCTATGTTTCCAGCATGAACCCGGGGAGAAAATAATTTTACACTGTCACTAATGATATATACAGCCAGTATATGTCATGTAAGCGACAAAACCCTTTCCACATTCATAAGAAATCTCTGCCAAAAGCAGAGTCGATTGTACAGTTGGTACTTTATCATGAACAGATATTTGTTTCAGCAATATTACAGCTGTGCGATGTTGTTTGTAAACAAATCGGGTCTGAACCAGACAATCCAGTGGTTGTCATCATGAGAGAGCATGTGTTTATGAATCACTATGTAATAGTGGTGATACCAGGGCCATACATTTTCGAAGCTCTCTTAGCTCTAAGATAGTCGTAAGTTAATGTTAATGTATAACACTTACGACTGTCTTAGCGCTAAGAGAGCTTCGAAAATCTAGGCCCAGGTGTTCACCAAAAGGTGAGCGTATCCTGCCCAACCCGGTGGCACCCGTCATAAACATATGCAAAGGCTAGTCATTTGTTCACCTGAAATAATTCGGGAAGGCATGGTATAAGTCAAAATAGGGAATTGCATCGGACATCATTTTTGTCACCGATGCTTCAAATTTGGACATTTCCTCCAGATGTCTAACATAAAACGTCTTGAAAGCTTTACTGAGGCCTTGAGTGTTGTAACCTTGATCAAACACAGCAAGTGTGGCATGACGCTCCTGAAATCCTGAAACATGTAAAAAAATCAATTCTTGGCCTGTCAAACCAATGGTTGATAGCATGAGCTAACCCATGTCGATATAGGTAACGATAGGTAATCAGACACGTCATACCCTTCAACATTCATTTTCAGAGGCAACAACGAGGAACGGTTAAAACGTTTATAACAATAAACACAGAATTTACGCCAAGAAGATCTTACGAAAGGTGATGGGTAGCCAACAGGGGCGTGTCATGCTTAGAAACAGCGTTAGAAAGACATATAGGTATATAGACTCTACCCTAGTACTATATAAAAGGTATATAGTACTAGGGTAGGGTCTATATACCTATATGTCTTTCTAACGCTGTTTCTAAGCGTGACACGCCCCTGTGGGGTAGCCAAGCTGTCATTCCGTAAACATGGGATCGATTCTCCAAATGGATACAATGCCCATAACCGATGATATGGCTGATATCGGCACTAAACAATACCCGTTTACTTCAAAAGTACGTTTCAGCAATGGAATATTTAAAGATTTACTCTGAAGTTCTTTTTTTGCTAAAGAGAGATGTTACCTGAAATCTCACTTCTGGGTAAGTTTAATGAACGTTCAGTTTATATGCCAAATCATGTAAATACTCTTAACGAGTGCGGCGTAAAACTAAACTCACTCAAACTAAACTAACATACTCTTAATGATAATACTGAAATAATCGAAAATATATCCCATCGGTATTTGAAATTAAGCGTGAACACCAGGTGGTCTTCGGCGCCAGGATTTTGTCAGATTATAATCCTTGGTTTATGCCACAATACCGTGTTGGGTTCACGGAGGCAGTGAACGTCTTCGCACACAGAATGTGCCACTTCCTGATGCTTTAGTTGCGCATGTTTTGTTTGTTGGTCTGTTGTTTAACGCTGCATAATTCCAGCTATATGACGGCGGTCTGTAAATAATCGAGTCTGGACCAGACAATCCAGTGACTGACATCATGAGCAAAGTTCCACCATTTGGGATGGTATCCTCCCAAAACTTCCACATCCCAAAACTTCCACAGCTTTAACCACAAAATTTCTGGTTGATTGCACACGCTATAGCATACTGATTACCCCAGTCTGTAATGGTTTAACCCATTAATCAGCAGTGAATACATATATTATATATTTTATTAAGGCAGGGTTATTAACAAAAAATACATATCTTTCCTAGTTACATATTGTTCAGTGCACTTCCTGGGCTATCCTATTACCTAAAAAGGGGTGATGAGAAGTTGTTGTTTAAACAATGTGTGGTAGTATTGGGATGTGGAAGTTTGGGGATATAACCCATTAATTGTTATGGTAGTGACACAATAACGGTAGTGACATTTTTAATAGTAACCAGTTTTATATGTTTACTTTAATAGATGATTTAATGAAATTTTTCAGTCAGATATTTTAGAATGTTTAAAGAATATGTAATAGGCAAAAGACTACATGTTACGGCAGTGACACTGTGGCGGTATATATACTCAGCATATAATGTCACCACTATAGCTGTCCTAGCACAGCCGTGTTCTTCTACGCCAGACTCTTCAGAACAGTACAGAGTGACAGGGTTATGACTGTCAAATGTGAAATCTTGCAATTGGACACTATAGGACATAGGTTCTATATAAATGTTCTACATAGACTGTTATATGTAACTAGGAAAGATATGTATTTTTGTTAATAACCCTGCCTTAATAAAATATAAAATATATGTATTCACTGCTGGTTAATGGGTTAAACCATTACAGACTGGGGTAATCAGTATGCTATAGTGCCTGCAGTCAACCAACCAGAAATGTTGTTTTTATAAGCTGTGGAATTTTTGGGATGTGGAAGTTTTGGGAGGATACCCAATTAATGCCAATGTCCATATCATAACATTATCAATTTCCTGATTTCATTAAAATTTATTTTTGTGTTTATGCCTGGATTTGGTAGTGCAAGTATGTTTGTAGTAGAGCTTCAAGTAAGCTTAATACAATTCACATTCTCATTTTGAATTTTTTGCTACATATTACTTTATATTTAGAATTGAATTGAAAGGAATTATTTGGCTTGTTGGCCCCTTTTAAGCAATAAATATAAAAAAAATTCAAAACTCATTAGCCATGTTATTTTGTAATATATTTTGATATACATGTACATTAGATATACGTTAAGCTCGCAGAATTTATGTTTTGTATATTCAGAATACTATGAATCAACAACATTTCAAGGTAAAACAAGAAAACAAATTACTTAACATATTTTGCCTATATGAAATATGCACGAATTTATATTATATATATTTCAGATTTATTAACTAATTGCTCTCTTCTCTACTAAAAGCTCTACTCTAAGTCAGGCGATGTATCATTATCTGTTGTTTCAGTTCAGTGCACTTCCTGGGCTTTCCTATTACCTAAAAAGGGGTGATGAGGAGTTGTTGTTTAAACAATGTGTGGTAGTATTGGGATGTGGAAGTTTTGGGATATAACCATTTGGGATACAAGCGTCAAACAAGTCAGCAAGTCTGACCATCCGATTCCGTTAGTCGCCTCTTTCGAAAAGCACAAGTTGCCAAAAGGCCAATTCTGCCTCAGATCTCCACGGGAGGTACATATGTAGTACATAGATAGTAGATATGTCCATTCTAAGAAGAGTGCCATTTGAAAAATTAAAAAAAGATTAAATATTTTTGTTAACTTATGAAGATGGTCAAATATTCTTGTTATATCATCGTCTGACCCTAAAAAGTTGATGTATTCACAAGAAGCGCAGCCATGAACGACAATGTCATTTTTATTTAGATCACGGAGTAGTCTTTAACTATTTATATCATCTTACTCTTTCGACATACCATGTAGTTTCACTTTATAATCAGTTCTACATTTTCCGATAACAGAAAAAATTCATCTTAAGTTTAAAACAAATAAACACAAAGTGACGATTCCAATTCGTTTTCGCAACATTAGCTGGCAATATCACTACCCTCCCCTTTGGGAAACAGGGGTAAAATTGGTCCCAAGCATGCAAGGCATATATAGAGAATACTACACGAGGTCTCATTACATACGAATTATACGAAACGAGTGTCCTTCCTATGGTATCTGACCGAGCAAAAGCGAGGTCAGATAACATAGGAAGGTCACGAGTTTCCAATAATTCGTATGTAATGAGACCGAGTGTAGTATTCTCTATTTATTACCCACGTCTTACATGCATTAAATTGACAAAATAGCGTATTTTTGTTATGTTTTTGGTTTCAAACCGAAACCGGTTTCATAAAGAGGTTGCGGAAGAGTTGTGTACTGTAGTACAATATTTGCATGACGTCACACTCGTATTTATGTATTTATATTTTATGTATTTATATTTTAACTAAATTGCTTGGGTGTGATGGGTGGGCTGATGTTGAGTTTAATTGAGAAGAAATCCCCAACCCCCAACCCCAACCCCCAACCCCAACAACAACAAAAAAAACAACTTCGTTGTTGCGGGGGGATAATTACCAAATACAGCTAGATTTAATTGCATTTTTGGGGGGAGGAAGCATAGCACAAACACTTCCATTTGATTCAAAGGTGTCATTTTTCAATCACCACTTAAAACATATATAATTTCGAGCACATGTCAAGTGTATATGTTGAATACATCCCGGGTGATACGTTACGTAAGACGGCATGGCAAGGGAGGAGAACGGCACAGCCAAACGTTTCGTCAGCCAGCCAATGAAATGGCGTATATGATATGACCCCTGACCTTATCTCAAGCAGGAAGTCAAAAGCTGGACCCGGAAGAGAATTACGAACTTTGAGGGATATGAGCTGTCAAACCTTTATTGGTAGTTTTGAAGTTTTCGGAGAGCGTATATTGTAAAAGATGGCGCAGTTTCACGAGAGCATTCGCAATAGTTTATCAGGTGAGGAAAATCTCCATCTTTCACTCGATCTCACCAAGTAACCAGGGATACTCCACAACAGGGCCTTATAGAGTCTCCCTGAAGTAACTAACTCGCGAAAGAATGTCCTGTACTGAGACGAAAGTTGTAAACAATTTGTTGAAGGCTCAGAATGGGTACCGCAAAGTAAACAGATAATGCTGGCAATAAAATATATAAGAGCAGAGCGAGTATAATCTTTATGTTTTATTGAGAATATGTAATTATCAACATCTGATCATCACCGGTGAAAGTCACTGTGAGAAATCTCAGGAAACCTCTAGCTGATCAGTAATGATAATTGATAAGCATTTTCTCATTGCTGAACAATTCGTTATTGGTCTTCTGAGTCAATAATGTTTGTTCGACGACATCGAGTACCTGATATCATATTATTATATGCTGCATGATATTATATAATCTGTCACACTCTTGAAACACCTTAAACTTTAATGATAAAAATATTTTCAAAATCAAATGGTGTTTGTTGCATAAATATAGTGATCAGAGACTGTTCTTATATTTTTGATATAATAATAAATGTGGTTTAATTTCTTTCTTGATGCAGAATTTGACAAATTTCTGGAAGCTCTGAAAAATGAAAAGTTGTCGAAGAAGTTGCAAAGTAACAGGGACAAGGTGACAGAGTTGCTGAAGAAGTTGAGGGAGGACTACCCAGCTCTTGCCCCAACAACAACAAATGACAGAGATGGTAAGATTTCCCAGCACAAGGCTTCAGATGTTTGGGGGGTGGTGGGGTAGCCTAGTGGTTAAAACGTTGGCTCATCACGCCGAAGACCTGGGTTTGAATCCCCACATATGTACAATGTGTGAAGCCCATTTCTGGTGTCCCCCGCCGTGATGTTGCTGGAATATTTCTAAAAGCGGCGTAAAACCAAACTCAGTCAGCCAGTTCAGATGTTTGGAGCCATTTAGCATGTTGAGTGTCAACTTGCAGGTAATCATTCACATTGTATATTGATAATTTTCTTTAGGTACTTAAATTATTTTGCTGGGTATTTTTACACAAATGAAATCCTTTCTTAAACAATATTTTTCATTATGTTTTTTGTTATTAAGTGACTTAAATTTTATCTCTTTGTGTGCTGCCCCAAATGTTTTTTATGTATTTTTAACACAATCGTGCAAGGAAAAGACAATGGTGATGTAGTCATAATTTATCGATAATACTAGTAGTTGGAATTAAAAAGGTATTTCAAACTGTTTCATGTCATGAGGGTTGATGTTGTTATATTCAAAGCATTGGAAGCCAACACTACTTGACACAAAAAGCAGAAAATGGGTACCCGGTGGGATAAGTCATATGACTATATACTGACTTTCTAGTGCCTCACAGCCAGCTAGGGACAATGCTGTCAGTTATCATGGTTTTGTTGTATGCGCTTACAGCATGCCTGTATGTCGTGGAGCGGTATATAAATAGCTTTATTATTAATATTATTGATATAGTGTTTGTTAGGTACTGATGACCTGTGTGTGAGTAGTCCAGCTGACATTCATCATGTTGGTAAACTGACCCTCTTCCTGGTTGCAGAGTCTGACGGATCAGCAGGGAAAGTGAGCTTCCAGAGTGGGGGCGCGGCAGATGATGACGACTATGCATACACTGAGAGTAAGTATAAACCTGCACCATGTTGGTGTCAGAGGTCAGCTATTGTAGTCAGGTGTCATGTTACAGCTAATATAATATTACTGATATGATATTACTGAAATTAAAAATATGTATACTTCATATATTTGGATTCGCAGTAAATATTATAATTTACTTTTACATTTTTTTAATGATGAATGATATTGAATGTTATCATAAAATAAAAAGTGGAAATTTCAAAGGCCTGGAGAACACCAATAATATGTTCTAGTCTCAGCTCAGACGTTGCACTGACTTACAGCAATCTCGTTAAAATCAGATACTTTACGTCTCTGCATGTACAACCAGCCAAATCTATTTGTTGTTAATAATGAGCCAAAGCTTCATGCCAGCACATTCGAAATCCGTATCTTGTGTGATGACATTTACATCCAGTGGGTATTACCACTAATGGCATATATATGTATCTTCTTTTTTGTCAAAGAAATGAAGCCACTTTGTTGTGATAGAGGAGTACAAATTTTCATACATGAAATTATTAATTAGTGTCATTTGTTAAACTGACACACCGAAACTGTGTCAGTAGAATATAGTTTAATTTCTTGCCAGTACACGTTTTGGCAAACAAACAATTATTTGTTGTGTCATGTCATGATAATTAAAATCATAAAGATGAAATTGTCTGTTTTATGTCACATAGTAAACACGTACCTTGATAGGTCTTGAGGGCAAGAGTTAATTACAACAGGATTAACCTTTCCCTATGAAACTAAGGGTCCTGAAGTGTTGTGTACTGTACTGTAAGATATGATACTTACATTAAAACAGGAACTATCTACTTATTGTTGATTCTGAAGCAGGGTATATTTTTTCATCATCCCATTCGTGTTTAATGGATGTGCATAACCCATAGGTGGATCCAGAGTTGTGGTGCAGGGGTGTGCACTCCTCCCCCTTTTGTCCTGAAAGTTGTTTTCAATGACCGTTGAAACTCTCATGAAACGGGTTAAAATGAACTGTGCACCCCATGTCTGACCTGTGCACCCCCCTTCTGTGCACCAAGATCCTATGATTGTTATAGAATGCCTGAATATAATTCTCTGTTTATCGACGCATGCGCATTGACTCACAAGGTTGTGAACATGAAGGACCTGCTTATTCTTATTCATTTCAAAGCCACCATGCCCAGATACATGACAATGTAATGAAAATACTATTCAATATGTAAGAAGTGGTGTTAAAACAACTCACGTATTAGTAGTGTCACGATACAGCGATACAGTATTGCATCCTGATACATTTGATTCATGGATTTATGACCCCTGGGACGTGATACAGTGAATATACATGAATAATAACAATGACCATTACGTATTTGTTTCTTCTCTACAATATCCCATCTTCGATTCCTGAAGATTATTAAAGGCACAATGTCACACTTTTTCAAAATTATTTTGGCCCATATTATATATATTGGGGCATATCGTTCACTTTAGCTTCTTATTGATACAATAAAAGACTTATTATCCCTTACGACTTGCCTGAAATTGATAATTGAATAGCAATAGCTTCTAAACAGATAACACTTGCCACATATGGAATGTAAACAATTGCTCCGTACATCGAATCCTGTCGCACGCGGTGTTGTCTGTGTTTGCCGAACTGGCCTTAATCACATGTTTCCTTATAGGATATTCGTAAAGAGCTTTCCAAGTGACGTAACTCTATGGTGATCGCTTGAAATAAAGCTCAGTCGGTAGAGGGTGCGAGAGTCGATTTAATACAACATTTCATTAATTCATTTGAACTTTTTTAATTTCATATTGTAATCTTGATACATATTTTATTAGGAATAAATTATATGGTAGCTGTGCTGGGGGCTGATAGTTAGTATTAATGAGAGAAATGCAATATTGATTTTTAGAGAAGTGTGGCGTGATAGTGTGCCTTTAACACTTGGTTCTGGGTTGAGATTCTCCAACTAAAAGAAGGAATGCCAAGTTATTAAACAAAAGAACTGTATCAGTACAGAATTGTATCGCACCCTGAGTAACAGGATATGTATATCACTGTATCACTGTCCCACTGTATCGTTACATGTCTATTACTTACTGTATGTAAATTAGCAATGGTTTAAAGATCTGTTACATTAGTTTTTCATATAAACTATGGATGATGTTTAATGGTTGGAAATGTCATATGTGCATGTTTCTATAATTTGAAGTGTGTCTTGCATGTTTTGATTCTGTTTTTTTCTTCTTTTTTTTCAAGCATCAGGTTTGGAAGTGTTTTGTTATTTGAAAACAATCATGTAGTTAGTGTGTGTGAACTGCTCATGCTAATATGTGATGTTATGTGACTGTGCATACGGTTGAAGTTAGTGAATATTTTAACAGGCAGCAAGTAAGGATTCATAAGACTTGTGCTTGGGTAACAGTCAGTCAGATTCTGCCAGTCATGAGAGTTACCTCCCTTCCTCAGTTCCCAGTTCCGATAACAGGTGATTCCAGAGCTGAAATATACTGAGGGAATAAAATAAAGGATCACATGAAAGCACAAGTGTTGCTTTCTTTTTGTCCAAGGTTTCTTCACAAACTTTGTATCGCACAGCTTTTGAAGAAACCTGGAAAAACATCAGGAACACTTGTGCTTTCATGTAATCCCTTATTTTTTCCCTCAGTATATAAGGCTTCACTCAATCAGAAACCTATTGATTGTAGTATCAGTAACTAACCACACAATCACTGAATAATTAAGATATGTTTTAAAACATGTATGATCAAGTTCATAGTCACACAAGGCAGTAGAATTGTGTGTGTGTTTCCTTGTTATAACGCCGCACTCAGCAATATTCCAGCTTATGAAGGCGACCTGTAAATAGTCGAGTCTGCAATCCAGTGACTGACATCTTGAGCATCGATATACACAACTGGAATACAATGATATCCAAGAATCAGCATGCCTGACCACCCAATCCCGTTGGTCGCCTCTTACTACAAGCATTGTTTGCTGAAGACCAATTCTAGTGGAATTTTCACGGGTTTACAGTTGTTCAAATATTTGGCAGCAGCAGTGAATTAAAGTCCCTGTAACAAATGTCAGCGCACACATGAATGTCCAGAATAATGTCACTGATATATGTCTTGAATGTTGCATGTTATTCTTTCTTAAATATGGAATGCCCTGTTAACGCTGGCAACTAGTCAGTGTTTTCAGACAGGAATTCTGTTCAAACTGGGCAAGTAGATCAGATCTAAATCATGTCACAAAAGGCCTCGAATAGCCTTCATCTCACTCTTTCATAGGTACAGCTAGCCCTTCTAGAAACTGTCACCTATTTAAACATTTAGAAGTTAAATGTCCTTGAAGTGAGATGGGAAGGTAACTCTTATTACTATTGCTGTCACAGACAACTATCCTAAGCTCAAGATTTTATGACGGCTTTATTCATTACCTATGTACTGTTCACATAACATCAAAGTAACCATGGTAACATTGCTTACTGTACTAAGTGTGTTGTTAGGCTAATAGTAACTTAACTTATGTACTAACTATAGTGTCACACTAACATGGGTAGAGAATAGGTAATACATCATCAAACGTGATCCATCTGGTTATATTAACATTATTTTATGATTCCTGAGCATCTCAATCAAACTCAGATGATTCCAGATAATGGACATTAGGATAAGGCAGTAAAGGTTTAGACGGAAAGCTAAAGCTTTTTTTCAGCTGACAGAAAACAGTCTAAAAAGGAGTAACACAATAGTTTCAGCTACAACTGTTTGGTGAGAGGTTGGGATTATTTTTGGATAGTTTGGCTGAATGAATAAGTCTATGCATAGTCTAATATAAATTGCATAACAAGTGTGATGCCAAGTTTATGCATAAATGATGAAAACTACCAACCAGTGTCTATGATTCTTATGCCAATACTCACTGTTCATTTTTTAAGCCTTTATAAACATTACAATCTCAAACATTGTACATCTACAATATAATATAGGATGCTATTTAACCTGTTTAACTGGAAGATGCCAGTAAGTTATTGTATGTTGTGGGGTACTGCAGGGTCCTGTCTTGGCCCCAGTACTATTTGTGTTGTACCCCAACTTTCTTGTTAATCATATACTGAAGAATTGTACTGTACATCAAATGTATGCAGATGATACCCACAGTGGTCAGTCTTATCCAACATGACAACATGCGGTTAAATAGTATTCTACCATGACTTAAGTAAATATTGGATTGTGATTGGTTAATTAAAGTCATTCAAAGTGGTTATATACCTCTGATTTTCCAACACAGTATGTATCTTTTTAAAATCTTAATGATGCGGTTATGGTAGAATGGAGATAATAAATCTCGTAATTAGGGCATACTATGAACAGATAAGGTAAGGTCTTGAAAGGTGGCAAATTAGTTATACTCTAGAGAACTGGAACAAAACTGAGGTTGGTAAAAAGTAAACCTATCCATTAAATGGACAAGAGAACATCAAACACACTTCCTCAGTTAATAACCTAAGTATTTGCTAAGCAAGGAATGCAAGTATTTGGTGGCCTTATATTCAAAATTATTCTCTAAATTCAGCCAGAGGGTCTACCTAGGCTCTGAGTGTGTGTCAAGTAATAAATTGATGTTATGTTAGAGCTCAGGATGCAGGAACTGTTATGGTTAGTGATGGATAATGTAATGTGAGATAAAAGTATGACATATTGAATAACATTAGTTTATGTAAAAGTATGCCTGTGATTAAAATCCCTTTTGCATCTTCCTGTAAGTCTAGACTTCCTGAAGGCTTTCAGTTGCCAAGTGTAACTGCACCAGTTCTCTCTACAAAGTCAGATTGTAAAATATGTGTCCAGTAAGGTGGACCATAGAGACATTTGGACACTCACATGGCCACTGGTTATTTAATGCAGTCATGCAGCCCTATGACAGGCCAGACAAGTCTGGTTATAGGTTTAAGTATAAAATTTGCCTGATTATGTTTCCTGTTTTTCTGCTCCTTACCAATGTTGATGGGATTCATAAAGTCATAAAGGTTGAAGACCTACATCATTCTACTCTCTCCTCCAACATCACCGTTGAATAACATAAAAGTTGAAACTTTTACTTGCAACTGTTCAGTGGACAATTGTGATTCATCAATAATTTTGAGAAGATGTTAAACCCTTATGCTCTTTGCTGTTCTGTTTGCTGTAAAATGTGACAAATGTATTTGTAATATTAAACATATTTTTGTACTTACCAGTGAGAGGATTTAGGACAGACAATTGTTAAATCTCATTTTAAGGATGGGACTTGGGGACAGTTAGTCATGTAGCAGTTAAAGAATTTACTGTTCATAGCAAGCACCTGTTAAATGAATATTTGGACCAAGAGGGAAATTAATTTTGTCTCTGATAATTTAACTAAGGTTCTTACTCACATCATGTTTCTGAGGCGAAGGACTTAACTGATCATAAATGTGCACTGTCTAATCTTGAAAAGTAGACTGGAATTTTGAAGTTATGTTTTTGTAGGATTAACTAGCTCATGGATCATACGTCCATTACTATTTTCGTAACAAAATCGACATGTTAATTGTAGGATTTGTACCCTCATGTGTTGTTACCTGACCATAAAAGTATGTAAAACATCTTTGAAAATCCAACCACCATCAGTCCAGGTTCTGTTTGAGAAAAAGAAAGTAACTGTATCTATTTCATCTGACTATTGCAATAGTGGAGGTCTTAATATATCAGCCATGATGTTTTTCATATCAAACTGGCATAATCAAACAAACTGTCTCACCCAATTTTGTAGTCTCAAGGTACTGACCTTTCTTACTTGTGAAAGATCACCTGGACAGATTGTCTATCTTGAGAGCTGAAGGGCAGTCAGGTTTGCTCCCCTGAATCCCAGGTTTGCTCCTAGGGCTGAATCCCATTCATCTAAAGGTGAACACTCCCTCATACAATTTATGTTTGAAACATTATAGGAAAAATTAATGCTTCTTAGAAAATAGGATTGACATGAAATGATTAAATTATCATGGGCTACATTTTGCTGCTCAAGTTCAAGCTCTGAAATATGGATAAGAATTGTTTAAATTGTACAAAATATTAAATATAATAAAAATGACTAAGTGATGTATAAATTCATATTTGACATAAATAGCCTAAATGAGAAAAGGTTATGTAGAAAATAATCCATTGTCCATTGAGGTTCTGGACAGTATAACTGAACCATGAACCATTTATCATAATTGGAAATGCATAAAATTATGATATGTCTGTGGCCTAACAGTGTGTAAATCAAACCCACTTTCATACTCACTAGTAATGGACTCTCCTTCAAGTAAGTCTGTCACCATCTGAACTACACTGTTTGACTTAAAGCTGGCACAAGCGACCGTAGGCTGGGGTCAAACCTGTTGCTTCCTCCCACATATTTGACAAGTAATTAGCCAGGTTTTACACATATAATCCTCTTATTGTATAGGAAGCAAGGACCCCCTAGTGGTCCTTTCCTCCTGTTATGGACAGTAATTAGTTTAGGCTTTGCACATCAAGCTGACGGCTTGGATGAGGTGCTTGTTTTTGTATGGGTAATGAAACGTCTAGCTATGATGAAGTTAATCAGCGATGTATACCAATCCATCCATTCCAGCAACTATTTACAGAAACGGACAAAAACTTGGGATTTGCCTGGTCTTGAAGGTAGAATTTGTGATTTAGTTGTTTGGGGAAAAGAATAGTGTTTATAATTCTTTATATACTCCATGTTAATTTCTCATATCATAATCAGGAAAATAGTTTCAATCAGTTGAGTCTTTAATTAACAGTTTAATGATCCTTTAATTTCTCATCTAGTTTTAAAAGTTTTAGTTCAATACTAAAGTTTCCATCAGTTGGGTCTTTAAGTAAGTTTAATTACTACTTATGTTTACATCTTGTCTTTACAAAATCTTGAGCAATTCCTTGTTTTTTAACCATAATTTGGCTCACAGTAAGTAAAAGTTAGACAATTAACATATAATCTTTTTCAGATGTGGTTACCATGGTTACACTTGCTTTTAATAATAATCATGCATGAAATGCTTTTTTCCTAAACTGAAGCTTATTTTGTTGTGATGTGTTACTAAGCTGCTCTCAGTGGTAGAAACTGTATATCACAACAATCACGAGTCCTTACATATATGATGGTATGAAATATGTATATGTATTGATATATGGAAAATATTTAGTTTTTAGATAGTCCTCATAATGGACTGGAAAAATACTGAACAAAAAAAGTTAGGGATCTTGAATATATTGTAGGATGATTTATTGTAGCGAAGGCAGAGTTTCTTTAACTGTGTACAGTTCATAAAAATATTTCATGATCATTAAGTTATTTTGTTCAGTATGTTTAGAACTCTGGTTCATCATGACCATCAGTGTTACACAACTAGTGTCAATTTCTACTACTGAACAGGTCATTGCCTGACTATAGTAGGTATTGGTACGACCTTTAGGTACTATTTTACCTAAGTATCCATTTTGGTACAAGGCATACAGATTACCCACTGTGTACCTTGTGCCACCATACAAGTCTCGCTTCACAAGGAAAGTGAAGGCTTATCTGTGTTGACATAAGTTTTCAAAAATAAACAGGAATGACAACATTGTTTGTTATGTGTGCCTGTGAAGACAATCCTTCCTTTGTTGAATGCTGAAAAATATGTTGCTGTTTCTACAAATTAGTATGGAGGTACATGGTAGTAGATGCTGAAAAATTCTGGCACATTTCGCTGCGTGCGTATTCCTTGACAGACCTTAAATGGCATTGTTATTGTACCTGGGTATTAAAATGTCATAGCTGTTACAACAATGACCAGTTCAAGGTTTCTAATGCTGTACATAACCCATTACTGACCAAATATGTTGCATCTTGTAACATGCTTCTTAGACTAAAACGATATGGCTGAAATATTGCCTCAGACTAGACTAAATAGCTTGGGAAGAACTACCTGGTCACCATGGTAACCGATGCCTTATTGTATACATGAGACATATGGATATAAATAATTAATATTTCTGTACATGGCACAGACCATCTGTCCTGGAGAGCTAAAGACTAAATGAGTCATATGTATGCTTAATAAGTCGTATACAAGAGTCTCAGTTTTCAACAACACTAGGGCTGAAACAAATTGGCTTGTAGGCCTTGTGTACATGTCCGCAGAAAATTATGTTTCATAATTTATATTTTACAATTTTACATGTTACTTTGTGTTAATGTATACAGTTAATACAGTTCTGTATCAGTACATGATCTGTAGATATGTTACTCATTAGGATAAAGAATATTAAAATGCTACTTTTTGTGAATTGTTACACCCTCCCAACAATGTTGTCAGCAGACTGGCAGTGATCATTACATCTCTTTATTAATCCATTGCGTAATATCATTTTCTACATCTTTATTTGATCGGATACATATTATGATAAAATATCATAAAAACCTCCATATTAATCTCTTCCTGAATGACATGTTTCCAAATATGTATAATATATTCCATGGAAATATGGTCAACATATTGTTAGTGAGTGAAAGGTTTTTGTTGCATCACAATTATTTGAGGGTCAGCATAGAACAAGAACCTGTTGGGTTCAATGTCAGGCATTATATAAATGATGGTGATAGTAGTGATTAAATTTGCATTTGTAAGTTATCATTGTAAAAATCATGTTGTTTTTATACTAAATGAACCCATATTATTTGTGTTAAAGGTGTTAGTACATTGGGATGAGAATTTTTTATGGATCTTCAGAATTTCACACATTTCTTTACGTCAAGGGTACCCTCTATTAAATCATGTCATTACAATATACACATATCATGTAGTTCCCTAGCCTGAAAAAACTCTCCATGAGTACAACTTTCTCTGAACATAGAATGTTTTAAGATCATGAATGAGCATGTTTTCATTAATCATGTGATTTAAAATAGTTTTGATCTTACTTTGTATAATGAATTAAATATATAAACATTTTTAAACAGATGTGCCTGAAGTTGCTGTGAAAGATTTAACAAATCCTGTCAAAATGGGTTTCTTGGAAAAGAAGAGGAAAAAAAGTGAGTACGCTTGAATCACATGCTTTTCTGTTTACGGTCAGCAGTATCATAGCTCTGTGACGCTGGGGCTAGATTTTAGAAGCTCTCTTAGCGCTAAGATAATCGTAAGTTAATGTTAATGTATGGCACTTACGATTATCTTAGCACTGAAAAAGCTTTGAGAATCTAGGCCTGGTCTGTAAATAATAGATCTGTATCAAGCAATCCAGTGATTAACGTCATGAGCATCAATCTAGGTAATTTTTATGTGATGACATGTTGTCAGTCAAGTCATTTAGCCTGACCACCTGATCTATTTAGTCAAGCACAGGTTGCAGGGTACCTATATTCTGATGGAGAATCACAATGGCTTTCTTGAAACACATTCCTTACAAACAGGGGCGGTGAGGTAGCCTAGCGATTAAAGTGTTTATCATCCTGTTGAGGTCATGGGTTTTATTCCCACATTGGTATAATGTGTGAGGCCTTGATATGTAAACAGAGTCTCCATTCCCCTGACCTGCTGGTCAGAGTCTAGGAGTCAAGTGGTGTTTGGACAGATCATGCCAACACATTTCTCAGCGAAGAGTGCCTGTGGGGTAGCCCAGTTGTTGAAGTGTTCGCTCATCATGCCGAAGGTCCGGGTTCAAATCCCCACATGGGTACAATGTTTGAAGCCCATTTCTGGTGTTTCCCGCCATGATATTGCTGGAATATTGCTAAAAGCGGCGTAAAAGCCAGGCAACTCACTCACTCAATCAGTGATGAGCTGCAAACTTAAGCAGTTCTAGGATCTAATAATTGTAGGTAGGACCCCAAAATTTTCCCCCCATTGTAAGCATTACTTTGTGGCATTATCCCTGTGCTTGTGACATTCACCAAAGTGGTAAATAAGACCTGCACCACTTCTGGCAGGGTATGAAACTCCTAAAAATTTCAGCCAGACCACAGGGCTGGTTAGATGTAAAACTTGCCAGCCCTGACCAAAACTTACCTGCCCAAAAAGGAATACTAATTTACTTAGTATGATTAAATTAAAACTTGCAAAATATGAAAAAAATAATACCAATGCAAGAAAAGAATTAACTGTTTATTTCAGATTTGTTTAATGCTTGAATTCATGTTATCAGTTCATCATGTTTTACTATCCTGAAATATGATGAATATCTTCATATATACACAGAGGTAAAGATAAACCGCGTATCTGCGTAAATTACGCAAATATTTATGTGAAAACTCAATTCCTATTAAGACCGCCTGCGTGGTTAGAGCGTCCGCCCGGAGTGCGGAAGGTCGCGGGTTCGATCCCCGACCGCGTCATACCAAAAGACGTTAAAATATGGTACTTGTTGGTCCCTGCCTGGCACTCGGCATTAAGGGGTACAACAAGGACTGGTCGGCTCGGAGTCAGTATAATGTGTCTGAGTGGGGTATTCATGCTTCACTGCTGCATGGTATCTCAGTGGGCTAGCACTATAAAACCAGCTTAAGTCAGGGCTAGTACAAGCAGCCGCACATACACATACACACGCATGCACGTCGTCATATGAGCGAAATATTCTCAAGCACGACGTTAAACCCAATTTCACCTCACCTCAATTCCTATTAAGTCTATTGTGTACAAGTACGCTTGAATTTTTGTATATACTCAATAAATGTGATCTAACATGCGTACACACAAAAATGTCAAATCTTAGCTTGCGTACCTGTGGATAGATAAAATAACGGAGGTATATTGAGAGGTTCTGTTGCAGGACATGAACTTGACAACTTGCAGTCTTTCTTATCATTTCACATATTATATATCAAATATAAATAACAAACACTAACATTTAAACTTTATTATATATTTAAAATTAATGGAAAATTTCACAATACCCAATTGAGTGTGAGTGAGGTGGGTACAATTTATTTGGTTACTCAAAGGAAACTTAGGATACCCAATCGAGATGAAAACATGCGAGTACATAACTCAGTGACCCAAACGTTATCTGTAGCTCTGTATACATGTCTAAATTTTAACCCGACCGTCGGGCAGGTGAATTTGAGAATCTGGCAGTCCATGTTAAAAATAAATAATCCCGGGCGGTCGGGCAGGCAGGTATTTCAAATGCTGCTTCTGGCTTTCCTCCTACATATGCAAGGATATGACTGCCCATTAACTCACTCACTCACTCATTCATTGTTCCAGCCACACTTCTACAAAGTGCCTATCAGAAGAGATTCTGTGTCATCCAGAACAAGACCTTCTACTACTATGAGAAGAGCAAGGATGCAAAACAGTCTGGAGCCTTTTTTCTCGAAGGTAATCTTATGAATGCTTCTGACAGAGCATTTAAATCTCATTCCATGCATATAAATATCTAGCATATACAACCAATTGAGTACCCAGAACCTCTATCATACATTAGCTGTTTAATTACCCTGTGCAGTGTGTCAAGACTGCTTAAAGACATGTTATTCAAATTTGACCGTTAGAGACTATATATGACTTTATGAATAACAACTTTTTGTTTATTGCATTAAGATCTATGTTTCAGTGTAGATTCTTACACCGAAGTTGTTATCCATAAAGTTGTATACTTCATTATTAACTCACCACACATTGACTATATATATGATGTACCTCCAGGTTTATTTTCTGACATGTGATTGGATGACATTAAAGGTCAAGGTCATCCAGAAGGAAAGGGGCATAAAATGTGTTGTTCAATTACACAGTAACTTTGAACTTGGATTAGGAATTCACGGTTTCCGCTTGATTGATAGTCTATGGTATGAATTTCTATAACATACAGAGGGAGCTAAAGGTGAATGGTTTTGTCATTACCTTTTGGAATTCTTTATTGCAATATGATATTTATGCAGAACTGTAACCTAAAGTGTTGGATAACCTTGATTCGTGGATCGCGGTAATTATCATGCTATCTCGTAATATAAGTCTTGTGTGATATCACGAAGCGGTACTTTTAATGTACACACAGTGTCACGCCTCACTGTTCAATGTTCCGAATCTCTGCATTACACGTAAATACACTAAATCTAATTGTCCAGCACTTAAGATAAATAGCCCAAGATCGCTACTGATACCAAATTTTATTTTTACAAAATGTCAAGTATAGAAGATACTGTTAGCACCAACGTTCTCACATCTCGTTGTCTGCTTTCCTAGATGTCTATACTTTTTGCAATGGGTTGTCGTACATAATGATCAGATGATAAAAAGTAACCGACTACGTAATCCATGAAACAAGCTGACGTCACATTTTGCATGCACCCGAATGGGTGATTGCAAATGGCTTCGGTAGACAAATGTTTCATTCACGAGTGGAATATTAGGCATTTTCAATTTGCTGAATCAATGAATAAAATTCTCAGTGAGTATACAAAATGGAATCGTGCATTTAAAATATGATTTTCATCGCACTTCACTTATATCTACGAATCAAGGTTACGTGAGTATATGAAAACAGCATGTAGAAAAGGTGATTTTTAAGGGCGGGGTCACCCATTTTGTTCTGGGGAGGTAGGGGAATCATCCGTTTTGTACACATGTACTTGGGGGGTCAGCAATTCAGTGTACATAAAAATTATGGGAAGGGGAGGGGGTGTCATTGATTTTGTACATGATATGCAAGTAGGGGTCACTTACTTTGTACGTTTTTTTTTTTTTTTTGGGGGGGTCATTCACATTGCACATGCTTTTGCATTGAAATCATCGTCATCCCCCTTGCCATAAATTATGAACGGTCCCTAAAACAAGGACTGGTCTTCTCTGAGCCAGTATACTGTGTTTGAGTAAGGTGTGTTAAACTATGCATTGGTATTGCAATGGGCTATCACAATTAACCCACGTATCATTTATAAGTACTAGCAAAGAGACACACATGTGCACATGCACACATACATTGCTATGTGAGAGCAAGAATCTGACGTTAAACCCTCTGTTATCTTACCTCAACCTTATGGCCAAACCTGTTTACATGGTACATATGGTACAAGAGTTGGTGTGGATTATTATACTGCATTCCTTACTTGCAGGCTATGAGTTCCGTGAAGCACCACAACACGTCAAGGAGGCTGCCAAGAAGGAGTTGAGCTTTGAGATGGTGGCGCCAGGAAAACGGTCATACCAGGTCAGATGTAGTGATTACCTGAGTGTGTCTAGTATCAAATACACAGCATCCAAGATGAGTGGACAGTATGTAGGCTTGTGAAATGTTTCACAGGATTTCATAGAATTATCAGTAAAATGTTTCACAGGATTTCATAGTATTATCTTAAAATGATTCATGTGATTTTATACCATTATGTTTCAAATGATTCTAAAAGATAAGATTGACATGCTTCTCTTGATTTCATAGAATAATGTTTTTCCGCTATTTTCAACAGATAAATTTTTGTCTAAAAAAATATACATCATCCCCTTCTTCAGATGAATTTAAAATTGTCACATTTACACCTCTTGCATTCATATTCTGTTTCGATTTTTCCAGTTTCTCGCAGAGTCGAAGGAGGAGTTTCAGGTGTGGCGTTCGATCATCGAGAGTGGTGGAGAACCAACAGGTGACATACCGATAGAGGGCGAGTTTGGTAAGCTGCTAATAACGCTTGCTTCATTAACATGTAGCCTTCTTGGGACACATGTAGTATTACAAGAATATGTTTTAGTATGATTGATGGATAAGATTTATGAAATAATGCTTGATACAATTTACAGTAAATGTATCTATTATTTTTATCAATTATCATTAATAATTTTTGGGAATAATGATGAATTATGATCTGATAAGAAAATGTGTGATACTTTTTGTAAAAGAACTGAAAATACTAATTCAATGTTCTGTGTTATGATACTTTAACGAAATGTCTGTTATTATATAAAATAATTGAAAATATTTTCAGTTTGAAGATATTGATTATATCAGATTTATTATGTTAAATGATTATGATTAAAGATTGAGTAATTATGACTTAAGAGACACTTCTTTTTAATTGTCTTGTATTGTAATTCACACATTATGTTGTAAAAACAGTAAATGTACATACTTGTGATAATATGATCTATCATTAAGTATTAATATGTATAACTTTTTGTAGGTCAAGAAATGACATTAGGAAAACATTCCTTAAACTAAATAGTCTTCATTACAGCACAACCTGTGTAGTGTTCTAGATTTTGCACCGAATAGATTTTTGACAAGTAGTCAAACAATGTGTAGCAAAGTCAACAGAAATAATCTAGAGTAGCATCTATCATTCTTGTCTGTGTCCATGTAGCAATATCTAACATACAGACCACAATACCTTGTTTTCCCGTTCATCACATCCCCACATATGACTGCTGTTGCTGTGTCCCCAAATCCATTTATTTGATGTGGTTTTCCTGTACGTCACTACAGGGGCTACGAATCGTCCCATAGGGAAAGTCTGCCATTGTAGGTTGTATGATTTACAGAACATTTCTACATATGACTTGCTACAAATCGTAAAGTATTTTAAAAATCATTTTAACAATCTCTTTCTTAATTAGGTTAAACACCTCCAAATATGTATATGTAATTTTATGTAAAGATGACTTTCAATAATGATTCCAGATAAGAAATGAAAGACACAATGGGTTTGGGAAAATCGCCATTTTTATGTTTTTACGTACAATATTGAACACACTTTATGGATAGCATGTACTGTTATTTCGTGAGTGCGACACTTCAATACAGATTCTTGTACTGTTGATAACGGTAAAAGAAGTTGTTGTTATTGTTCAATATTAGAGGTAAGTAATTCAGGAGGGTATTGGTAGATTCTATTCTAAATTTATTTTATTTTACTTTAATGAATTAGCTATCCATGTTTTCAGGTAATAAATTATGGGTGCAGCTATCAGAGGTAGTTAAGTGTTATGTAAATTACACAGCCCAGTTGGCAGACTTTTCCAGCAGGTTGATCCGTAGCCTTCAGTCGTGAGATGCGGTAATAGTGAAGTTAAACAGAGAATAGATTAGGGGATAGGATAACCATAGCAAACCCACATGTAGATAAAAAGCACAGTTGGAAACAATTTACAGGAAAAGGCTTTCAAAATACAGCTTAACAGCTTAATACAGCGGACAACACAGAAACATTTACATCAGTTCCATACAGAGGTCACAGCATGTCCCCTGTTTATCTGTCTAAATACAGTAAACAATGTTTATAATGAACATGCTTTTAAAAAACTCTCCGATATAATAGACTTTGTTTTTTATGTCACAGTCACTTGCTGTCTATTTTTGTCGAAATGTATGTAATGAACTATGGTTTTAACGTATTATAATTAATTGTCTCTTTGAATTCATTATAAACATAATTTACCATAATAGGGGTAGATAAGTTAATGTTAAGAGATTACATTTTGGTGAATTGGTTTGGAAACTTTCTAATACCAGTGTATAAAATGCATATTTTTTAGTATTTGGTCTGTAAACCTATGTGGCACAGAGTTGCCATCTTCCTAATAGTAAAATGGTAAATAGTCCTTCCTTAGTTTGGGTACGGGTGGGCCAGTTGTTTTAGGCGTCACAATGAGTTGTGTCCCTTTGGTACATCAGGCACCTGTGTTCATGGTTTCAAATCTGGGTTTGTTTCTTGATGTATCAACCCCATACAGATACTGGTTTGGTAAATACCTGAGCAACCTGCATCACTTTGGACTTTGTTCCACATTAAACTGACATGGTCTGATGTAACTGGAATACTGTTGAAAGCGGCATTGAACCCAACACACTCACTCACTCCTGACCTATTACGAAATGTTGCAACCTACCTTTGTTGAAATAGTCTTAATTCAGCAGAAACAAGAGGATTGGTGTATGTTACATTAAAAAAATGCACTTCAAATATTTAAAATGTCTGTCATGCATGCGTCAATGGATACAGCTCAGTTGGTTTTTGGGGTAATTGCATACCTCTAAACTGCTTTTCAGACGATATTTATGAGGATATGGAGGAGGTAGCCGAGCAGGTGAAATCAATGTCCACTACCATCGATGTTCCACAACCTAATGGTAATGACGATCAAGAGGTCTATGATGATGCTGAGTCGGCTGCAAAACAAGACGAAATTATTGGTGAAATGGACGAGGTTTATGATGATGTGGCAAATGTTGAAAAACCATCAACAACTCCAGAAAAGCCTACAGAAAAACCACCTCCAGTTCCGCCACCAATGCGATCCATGAACAAGCCTTCAATGCCTCTCCCAGATCTACCACCACCACCTCTGCCACCATCCAAACAGGATCAGCCCCTTCCCGCCCTGCCAGACCTACCCCCACCACCAGCCCTGCCAGACCTACCCCCACCACGACCCACTAAGCCCATCCCCAGACCCAAGCTGGAGTTGTCTCTCAATCCGCTGGAAGATTACGAGAACATGTATTACGGAAAATGGGACTGGAAAGCCGATTCAGATGAGGAGCTGTCCTTCAAACATGGGGAAATGATTCACGTTATTAACCGAGAGTTTGACAACAAGGACTGGTGGGTGGGCCGGATAGATGAAAAGTATGGCCTTGTTCCAAAACATTATCTCATCCGAGCTTATCGAGCCATATGAATAACACTGTGGAATCAAAATGTTCATGATTTCTTAACCAGGGCTCCAGATAATGGTCGTATTGGCATATGTGCAGATATAAAATATGCATGATGCGTTAGGAAATAATTTAGAAAACGTAGCAGATACGCACTACAGCAATGCTGTACGGTCTTAGAATCATTTACAGACGTACTTATCTGAAAAAGTATTGTTTTATTGTTTATTGACCTGTTTACACAAGAGTAGCAATGTTGTGGTGCATATATGAAACGAAACACAAGATTACTGATACTCCATTAAATTCCGTTCAGTACTCTAGATGTACTCTAAGGTATTCCAGTACCCCTGTATTGAAAAAATAAGGAGTACATACTCCTGATGTTGAAAAATTATCTGGAGCCCTGCTTAACATTGATTTTGTTTTGTTATTTCACCTTTCAGTCAGTTATTATACAGCTGTATTGACAAGGTATTCAAGATGTACAAATTTTTTGTATACATTAAACTAATTTTACTCGTTTTTCATTCTCAAAATATTCTGTGATGATTATGTTTTCGTAAAATTATGGATAGGTTTTGATTCATGTTAGGATGACTTTAAACCTTAAATAAAAATATGAAATATAAAATCACAAAATTAATTAAATTTAAAGTTTCTAAAGTTACTTTCTGCTCAATAAGCAATATTTTAGGGTAATGCAGCCATTGTTTCTGATGATTTCTCAAGTGTTACATGTCCTCTTCTCTAAAATGGAAATTAGTTTTTAAATAATCTTTTTTATCAATTTGCTTTAACCAAACTGAAATTCACATTTTATTCTTATGTTTGGCATTGTATGTGGTAATAACGTGGATGCTTGATTTTTTAATATAATTTACAGTAAGAAGTATTTAACATTTTGTACTCCTCATCCTTGTAGGTGCTGATGACATTCAGTAACTATGGACATGATAAGTTTCCATTGTGGATTTTCATCAGTTAATGTCAAAATCATTTGTTTTATTCACGTTGCATTATGTAATTTTAGTGTGATGGATTTCAACTGATTTTTTTTCAAATGGTATCTGGGGCAGGACGATACTTAAAGTATCATGATTCGATATGTATCAGGAGAGGACATGATACAACAGGCATGATACTGAATGACACCTACTGATATTAAAGTCTGATGTAAACAAAACATTTTGGCCATTTTTCTATTTTTAACTATCAGACATGATGAACTAAAGTAAAAAAACAGTGTGGTTCTAGTTACCATGTATGCCATCTTTCTTCGTATCAATATGTCATCATATGATTCCAGTCCGTTTGGGTTCAAATGAGAACGATGAATGATTAAATAATTCGAAACAGGGATAAGTGCACAAAACATAAATAAGACACATGGTCCTGAAACCTCTGTACCCAATAGGATCTGAAATCTGACATTTAATGATTGATCGCGGAAATAGTTGTTTAAGAAACTATCATGTAACATTGTTCTATTTTCATTCTTCACACTGAGAGGTGACAAAAGGCACGCATTTCAGGTGCATCTCAGCACGGCCCCCTACTAGTCAGGAAACGGCCGGGCTGTTCCACCAGCCGTTTGTCACCCTTTGGTGTGAAGCGTGAAAACAGAACAATGTTACATGATAGTTTCTTAAACAACTTTTTCTGTGATTGATCATAAAACGTCAGATTTTAGATCCTGTTGGGTACAGAGGTTTTAGGACCATGTGTCTTATTTATGTTTTGTGCACCTATCCCTATTTCGAGTTATTTAATCATTCATCGTTCTCATTTGAACCCAAACAGACTGTAATAGTGTAACGATACGGCAATACAGCATTGCATCTCAATACAAGGCTCACAATACAATACATCGATTTACATCAGTACATACGATTCATTACATTAAAGGTTATATTGACGTAAATATGTGAAAAATATCAGAAATTGTTCAAGAACCAGTTTATGCAGATTCTCTCATAAAATTTCCTGGTG